CCGCGCTCTGGGGGCCCTGCCCGGCGGCCGCTCCGGCCCTGTGCTGGCTGCTCGGAGCGCCGGGTCAGCTAGCGCTGACCTCGTCCCTGTGTCCAGGGCACTGCCAGGGCGACGGCTACCGCGTGGGTTTTGGTCAGTGTGCCGGGAAGGTGCTGCCCGCCCTCTCGCCAGCCTGAGGCGTCCTGCTCGTGGGGAGCCTCCCGGCCGCCAGCGAGTCCCCCGGGGACCAATAAAGACCCCGCGACCCTCCGCTCTCCGCCTCACTGTGTCTGTGGGCATCGCATGAGCAGCTGCGCCGGCCAGTGGGAGACCAGTCAGCTGCGGGGCCAGCGCACAACGCGAGCGTGGGGGGCGGGGCGGGGGCGGGGCGGAGCCCCAGGCCTCCCTGCCTGGCCCCGCCCCCTCTGCGTGTCCCCAGCCTCAGCGAAGATGAGGTCCTGGGCCCACTAGGTGGACACAGCACCACCAGCACGCTGCTGCTGGCCTCTGGTCATTGGGCCAGTGTAAGTTAAGGCCTGGGCTGTGGCCTGCCCTCGCCCCACACCTCCATGACCTCCGCAGCTGCCCAGCCAAAGGCACGCTGCTCAGGGGGGAGGCACAGGGCCGCCGGCCGGCGGGGCTGGACACGATGGTGCTTTCCTGGTCAGCGGGCGGCCCAGAGGCGCCCTGGGGTTCCTGTCCTCGTCTCCCGCCCTCCACCCCCTCTCCAGGTCCTCTCCACGTGACCCTCAGCTGAAGGCAGGCCGCTGACAAAGTCGGGGTGTCGCCACCTGGGCCTTGGGATGTGGGGTCAGCTCCCGTAGGGAGGGTCTGACCCGAACGGCCGGTGAGTCTCGGCCCACACCGCGGGCGGCCGCTGCCCGCCAGCACCCAGGGAGGGCTGCCCTCCGGAGCCGCCAACTCCTCTGCGGGAGGGCGCAGCCTGCGGGGCTGGACACGACCCGTGCGGCAGGCGCGGTGGTGCCTCAGCTGGGCGCCCCGAGTGCCCCTCACACGTGGGCGGGGGCCCACGCTGTCCCCAGGCACGCCCCTGCGTGGTCCAAGAGAAGGGGTGCGGCTGCTGGGTCAGAATCACCCCAGTCTGAATCTTAGCTTTGGAACGTTTAATGGATGAAGCCCCGCCCCTCGGCCCTGCACCCCCAGCTGTGGGTCGCGCCAGGTGGGACCCGGGTCGCGGGGAGGGGGGGGCTGCCCGCACAGGGAGCTCGTGCAGGCCCCTGCCCATCCTCTGTGGCCACCACGCAGGCCGGCGGCGTCTACACTGGTGCCCAGCCGCCCCCCTGGAAGGGGCTGTGTGCGGTGCAGGCTGGGCCCCAGCCTCCCGGTGCAGGGATGCGCCCCACCCCCAAAGCGTGTGGGGGTGTGAGGCACGTGGGCACTGTGCGAGTGGGCGCGGGTGCACCCATTTGTGCAAGAGTGGGGGCGCGGGCGGGCGCGGGGGCGTGTGCTGTGCGCCGGAAACACCTCAGTCTGTGTCCAGTGAGTCAGAACAGCCCAGAGCTGGGCCTGGCCTCAGGCCTGGGGTGCAGGCGTTGGGAGGCTCAGGCCTGTGTCCAGGGGCGGCCCCTGCAGGGTGGTGGGGGCTGACGTGAGCACACGGGGCGCCTGGAGCTGGTGGGCTTGGCCGGGGGTGGCCCGAGCGCCCCCCCGAAGCGCCCGCTGCCTGGTGGGGTCCCAGCGCCCGTCCTCCCGCGCCGCCCCACGACACCCGGCGAGGTAGATGCTGCTTCCTGGTGTCGGGGGCCCCGGAGCCGAGGCACCGGGAGGGCGGCCCAGCCTCTGGACAGCGCCGGCCCTCACTGGCAGACAGCCCCCCTTCCTCTCCATGAAGTGCACGCGGAGCGAAGCGGGGAGGCCCTACCGGGCACCAAGGTGAGGGGCGGACAGGAGCGGTCAGCCTGCATCCAGCGTCCTCCCCCCAGCCTGTCTTCCGGGGAGACGCGGCCGCAGCGCC